CAAAAAAAAAATAATAATAATAATAAAAAATAAAAGATACAACGCATCCCAGAATTACAAATATCCCCAATAGAACCACTTGGTTTGTGGTTTCAGCATGGACATTACTGACAGTAAGGAGTAGAGGCACAAGCCACCAAGCCAAACGATCTGAGTTCAGTCCCCAAAACACACATGGTAGATGAGACCTGACTCCCCGAAATTGTCCCTGGACCTCCACACACATATTGTGGCACCTCCCCATATAAACACATAAAAATTAGTAACAATAAAAATGTATAAAAATCAAATTAAGATATCATCATCAATAGCTATTTTTGCATGTTTAGGCTTCTGCTGGCTTTTTGGGTTTGTTTGTTTGTTTTTTTCCTTCTTTGATTTTGGTTTTTTAAGACAGGGTTTCTCTGTGCAGCTCTGGCTGTCCTGGAACTTGCTCTGTAGACCTGGCTGGCCTCAAACTCAGAAATCCACCTGCCTCTGCTTCACCAGTGCTGGGATTAAAGACATGGGCCACCATGCCCGGCCAGGATACTGCTTTGAAATGTGAAGTCAAGGTGTAACTTCTAATGCTTACTAGTCAATCATCAATGTCGTACCTGTTTTCCCCTATGGACAGGACACAGCACAGGGCTCTACTTAGGGCAGACAGTCAGAATTTATATAACACCAACGAACTGAAAACCAAAGAAGGGTAAAGGAGGGCATTTCCTACTTAAAGTTCAATTTTAATTACAATGAAGCTGCAAGTCAGGGTAAGTCTCTGACATTTCATAGTCAGAAGAATCTGAGGTTAACAATTTGTAAATAGGATTTCTGAAAACGTGCAGTTCTAGCAGGAAAAAGATGCCCTTTGTCCCTCGGGTCTGGTGTTCAAAGGAGTGCAAGGATCCTGCAATCCTCCAGGAAGACCCGAGCCTCCAGGCTGGTGAGAAGCCAGCTCTCATCTTGTTAGCCCCACTAACAGCATGTGACCTGAGCTTCGACCACAAAGGGAGAGCCGTAAGTACTCATCTTAAGGTTCCAGTGGACGACAAGGGTGGGCACTTTTTAGAGCAAGAAAGGAAACAAGACCACACAGTCATGCTTCCAAAGGGTACAAAATTCATCAACACTAAGTACTTTGTAGAAAGCAGCGCGTCAAAATCTAAAACCAAAGCCAGACAATGGTGGCACACACATTTAATTCCAGGACTTGGAAGACAGAAAAAGGCAGTTAGTTCTCAATGAGTTCAAGGCCAGCATGGTCTGCATAGTAAGCTCCAGGCTGCTGAGGTGATATACTGAGACCTTGTCTTTAAAAAACCCTAAATGAGAAAGCGACCTTTACTTCTGTTTTAACTGTACACCTAAGCAGCTCTCTCCTGAATGAGGCAGGCCAGGACTCCGCCCTGCAGAAGCCAGTTCAGACAGGCTGGCACAGCAGGCAGGCACATGCAACTGTCCAAGACCTGACCTACAGGAGATGGTGGACATACAGAACACCATTTTGTATAGACTCCTGATGGTCCATGATG